CTCCCACTTCCCATTCTCGGATTTAGTTGATGTTTTGCATAATTATTAAAAGTTGATTACAATACACGAATCAATGCAAAAATTAACCAGTTTGTCAATCATTTAGTACTAATTATTTAATTTTGTTTAGATAACAGAATGGGAGCTAATCCCTGTAATTTTCAGATAACTGGCATAATTAGCGGTTATTTCACCTTAGATTAGCCTTGATCCTAAAAAGTAATCTTTTTTCTATTGTTTGTTATATACTTTTTTTTTAGGATTTTTTATCAACATTAACAGCAGTTACAATCCAGTGTTCCCTGAAAACCCAGAGGCACCCCCTCTTTGCTTGTACGGCCATCAGACGAATGTCTCCAGTATCACCGGCTTCTCCAACTACCTGGACTCCTTGATTTACTTGGCCCTGACTAACTCCGACGTGAGCCCCCCGTTCGATAACACCCCCAGCAACCTGGCCTACCTCAGAGGCATTCTAAAGGTCTGCTCCACGGAGGGAAAACAGAGCTTCATCAGCTTTTTCCAGGACGTCCTGGACGACCCCCCCTTCGTCTACAGCATTAGCAACAACGTCCCAGGCCTGTACGAGCTGGTGAATTTTCTACTGTTGGTCCTGAAAGACATCTGTGGCTTAGACGCCAACGGGTGCAGCCAGGCCCAGGCCTTGATAAACGCACGAGTACCCAACGCCACCGACCCTGCGCCTATTCTCCAGCCATACTGCGCTCCTTAACAATTTTTCATCATAGATCATGTCATATAATGTTAAGAAGCAACAATATACATTTTTTCAAGTTACGACATTGAGTTATATATTACTCCTTTCTAAAAAAAAATTGTTACAAGATAATATAATTAGAATAATTAGTTGTTGTTTTTTTTTTAGACTACGACACTCGACTCGACATTTGCCATTTTAATTTATTTTTAAAGAGCACAATTAAAAAAACAGAACAGTAAGTTACGATGTTGACCAATAAAGCATATTTTAAGATTATCGATCTAAGTGTAAGTCCATTTATTTTAGTTTATTGATCAATAGTCAAGTGTGAACGCGATAACAAATAAGACATTTTGTTTTACTATTAACTTAAGCGCTCTTCTTAAGTTCAGAAAAAAGTAAGAATGAAATGGTTGGGTGATTGGAAATTCCAGGAACTAGCAGCAAGAGTTGCGCCAATAACGCGAATGTCGTTGGTTCAATCCCCATAACTGGCCATTTCTTTTAATGACGAGTCGATCCGATCAAGTAAAATCCTTTCGAATGTTACCTTAAGGAAGGTCTTTTCGAGCCCTGAGGACCTTGTGATATGGGTCATACAGCCATAAAGTTTCAGTTTGCGCTTTTCGACAATGGATTGTGGTCATCGTATGATCTCTGTGATCTTGTTTCTAATCTCTTTATTCGTGATGCTGACTTAAACCCTTTTTTTTTTTTTTGGTTACATTATGACTTCCCCTTTCCCACCACTTGTTACAATACGACGAATTTTATGTTAACAAGCAGCAAACTCTTCGCTTGCTTTTCGAAAGAGGTTGTTGGAATGTCCTGTAGTCAGGATTCTTAGAGTTAACGCATGTATAGCGTTACACATCTGCAGAAAAACGTATAGACTAGTATAGAGCATGGCAGCCACCTAAGGCCTTCGATTGGCGGGGGGCTCGCACGGGATTACGAGTCGTAAATTTCATTTTGTTGTATTTTTTTACAGAAGAAATAGCAAAATATGTTATTATTAGAGTACGATAGGTTTTAAATAAATTGCACAATTTTAAGGGAGAGATGTGAGGTCATTTGATATGCCTTACATCTGTTTCCAAGACATTCATATCACTTAGAAACGCCCCTTCCCAACATGAGCGGGCTATGGGGTGGGGGCGTGATCACGTGACCCTGGGTGGTGATACGGAATCAAGTGGATACTACTCACTGGAAAGATCTATTGCCAAAGATGTTACACTGGTCACTGGTCGCTGCTAGGCAATGGCGCAGGGTCTAGGTCCTTGGTTCGAATCCTTCTTGGGGCTTTTTTACGTTTCGGCATATTGTCCTCCCCCCCTTCAGCTCTGACTAACTTTGTTATCTAAGCACTACTGTTATTATATGCTAAATGTCATGCTAAATGTCATGTTTACTACTAAATACAATAAGTATTGTATAAGTAAAAACGGCATTATGCATTAGCGTAATTGTGGAGTCTGGTGAAAAAAGCTTCTCGCGCCTCAAACTAATTAAAAATTACTTAAGGTCAACAATTCTCAAAGATAGATTGAAACATTTGGTAATTCTTGCTATTGAGCGTAATCTATGTAGGAAACAGAATTATTATGATGTAATGTATGACTTTGCTATACGCAAGGCTCGTAAAGTAATTCTGTACGTAGTAAAGAATGAATAAAATGCATAGACGAATTTATTTTCTAATACAAACTCTTAAATTTCACTTACTGTGCGCTCACCTACCCAAACTTGGCCCCGCAAAATCCGTTTCGCACAAGGCCCCACATTGGTTAAGTCAGGCCTTGCTATTTACATACATATATATATGTATATATATATAAGCATTAATATTTTTTCTTTCAAATTTTTGCATTCATTTCAGCTGGCGCCTTTATTCTTACAAGTAAATTTTATACATATATTTAATTTATGCAAAACTCTGTTACGATAAGCGGCAGAAGTACAATATAAATGATCATGGACGATCTCACTCCTCGATAATGTCTCCTTGACAGAGTTGCATAGTCTAGGCGCTGATCCGTTAACATTCACATTCTTGTATTATGTGTGATTGCAATCGATTGAGATATGAACCGAATTAAACTAAAATAAAAAAAGACTATTATTAACATGAAATTTACGGTTTCTTCTTGTGTGTTTTTTGGCAATGTAATCTTCAACTGAACAAAAAAAAAGTGCATTAAATCGAAACTTTTGGCTCCGACGATTGTGGAACACTTAATTATGACATAATAAATTATGTCCCCGGTGAATTTGAAATTACAGACATTCTGTTAGAACGACTGCGCCCTAAGAAGTCTTCGTCATACTGTTTTGTTGTCTTATCTTATCTTATCTTATATAATACAGACGTTACTTCAAAAAAGATGATGATTACGTCCTACGCGTCATGCATTCAGTCATGCATATTAACCAATGACTTGAATTCTGCCAAGTCACTGGTTTTCCTGGCTAGCTCAGGCAACCCATTGCATGCTCTAATAGCGCTAGAGAAGAAGGAGTATTTGTACAAATTTGTCCTAGCATATGGGACGAGGAATGTGCCTTTACCTTTGTGTCTTTTCTGAGTATTTTATTAAATTTTGTATCTGTATTTGAAGATTATGGTTCAGTGTTTTTATGTATAATTGCTACTTTTACTTTTGAGTCTTCTGTCCTGAAAGCTTTCTAAATTTAGTGATTTTTACTAAGGGTGTTACTCTAGTCAAAATGTGAATATTCATTTGTTATGAATCTCACTGCTCTATTTTGTGTATGTTCCAGTTTCTTAATGTTTTTCTTGAGTTGAGGGGTCCCAAACGGAGGATGCATATTCTATTATTGGCCTAACCAAGGTTAAATAACATTTTTTAGTTTTTATGTTCTTATTTGATTTATAGAAATTTCTTTGTCCTTTGTGTTGTGTATAAGATATTGATGTAAGTACAAAAAATCACTGGAAAAGAAAAGGTCATTAGACTCTCGAAATTCCTTATGAAAAAGAAAGTTTAAAAAATAAAAGAGTTCTTGGGAAAGACAAAGACTATTTTGTCCTTGAAATTGGGATTCTTTTGCAAATAAATGTCTTTATTTTCTATGGAAGCCCAAAAATTCCAAGAGACATTATGCTAAATGTTTTTGTTGGTGCGTTTAACAGGTGACAGATCAGTTTACCAGGTGACAGATCAGTTTACCAGGTGACAGATCAGTTTACCAGGTGACAGATCAGTTTACCAGGTGACAGATCAGGTTACCAGGTGACAGATCAGTTTACCAGGTGACAGATCAGTTTACCAGGTGACAGATCAGTTTACCAGGTGACAGATCAGTTTACCAGGTGACAGATCAGTTTACCAGGTGACAGATCAGTTTACCAGGTGACAGATCAGTTTACCAGGTGACAGATCAGTTTACCAGGTGACAGATCAGCAAATGAATTCCTATTGTACATGTTTTAATGTCTATCGTTGAAACAATATTTTCAAATGACAATGAAATTGGCACAAGACTCGCCAAAAACGCCGGACGTGCTGGAGCGGTAGAAATTAGACTTGTTGCCCATGACGATGGATCATCATTTTAAAAATTAGAAGAAAGACATCAGCTATGGCCGCAAAGTTATCGCCAAGCACAGCCGTTCCCTACTCGCTACGCAGCTAATGTGTCCAAAGAAACAGCAGGTACCCGATACTCTCTACGAAGCTAATGTGTCTAAAGAAACAGCAGGTACCCGATACTGACTACGCAGCTAATGTATCCAAAGAAACAGCAGTTACCCGATACTCTCTACGTAGCTAATGTATCCAAAGAAACAGCAGGTACCCGATACTGTCTACGCAGCTAATGTATCCAAAGAAACAGCAGTTACCCGATACAGATTAGGCTCACCGACGTCATACTGTGTGCTGCAGGCCGCCAAACTGTCGCCGGCTCCTGAGTTTTTCCATAAGGTTGACTCCCGAAGCCTTTCCTGTGTATGGCTATAGCCCCAATACAGCAGAGGTTGGAACTAAAGAGTTTTCCTTCTCCTAGGTAGGTAGCCAGCCAGAAGCTTACAAGCCCCTCATACAAGAAGCTTACTCGTTTTGGCATAAAGGGACATAATTGAATTATAAGACTTTCTGTGCCGCATAAGAACGGGAGACAAAGGCAATGACGTCACCTCACCAATGTTTGCGTCACGATGTCAAGCCTAAGGATTCTTTCCTGTCTCCCCCTCATCCTAATGCTCAACTGTTGTTTTTTTTAAATCTAACATTCAAAAACAATAAGTTGCATAGAGGAGGTATTGACTTTTTAAAAGTATTTTTATTGTCTTTCTTACTAATTATTAGTGAAAGTATAAAACACACACATGTAAACTATGTAAAATGTACAAGCCTTTAGTGAAATAGCAATTAGCGAAATGCAATAATGATCACAGTTAATATTGACTCTCTCACTCTCTCTCTCTCTTTCTCTCTGTTTCTCTCTGCCTCTCTCTGTCTCTCTCTCTCTCTCTCTCTCTATATATATATATATATATATATATATATATAACTGAGATTATCGAGTGTGTCTGTGGCAAGCTAGTTATTACTTACATAATATGTATAACATTTGATAATAGGCTAATATATTATACCGCAATAAAACAAGTAGATAGGTTTTCAAATTCTTGACTGTGACATAAGATATAAAAAAAAACTACACTTTAGTTTAAGAGGTCATAATTACTAACATCTTTACAAATGAAGAAACACTTTTTTTTTAAGAAAGTCCATTGCCCATTGAGGTTCAAAAGTTACAGATCAAGTATTCTGTGGTGAGCCAGCATTACAGGAACTTATATATTCCTAAGACTATTTTTGCATGGTTACATGTGTAATGTATCTGGCAGCCCATCAAACGGTGACAGTTGATGTAGGCTGAAGAAGAATAGATGATATATCACGCCAATGACGCCACTCTATAGTAGCTGGCATGGAACAAAAATTTAAGATTAAAAAAACTACATAGAGATTAATGCAGAAAGAACTCGTGTGGGTTGAGTGAATGGTTGACTTTTATTGTATTCCACGCATACTTGGTCAGTTCTTATAGAGGAAAAAAAAAATTCATATTAGTTGTTGGCCGAAAAATAAGAATTCATTCCCTTTCCCTTTCTATTCATAAATATAGAGCATTACAGAGTGCTTCCAAGATCGTAGCTGCTAGAACATAGAAGCATTGAACTAAAAGCAATGTAAACAAAGAATTGTAAAAAATTAATTTCTATCTTAATAATGTAAACAATAATTGTGCAAATAAGTTCCTATCTTATAAAACTGATTGTGGTCTATCATTTCTCATTCTATTTATTTTTTGTAATTTTTCATTACTGCAAAGTCTTTCTACTGAAGCCGTGAGACGTAATGTGTTCTAAAAAAATCTTTTTTTTTTTTTGAGGTCATTCGGAAAATTTTTATTGATAAAAAAGACCTGAGCCAAAACTAATTTTAAAAATGACTACATAGTTCTGAAAACGTGCAACTGTCAAGCCATACCTCTCGTCGTACGACGAATTTTTCCCAAATGACTACATAAATGGTCACATTTCTAGGAACAAATGTTAGAGCCGTGTTCGAAATTAAAAATAACTCTTTCATTCCGACCTTCAGCCATACATGTAGAGAGTGCAAGCTAATGATAGGGATTGCAGTCATTGACATGCCGTTCACAAGACGATATTACATTTTAAATCGAATGATGGCAAATTGTAACTTCTTGGGTAAAGTGTCTTTTAATGATGTGCAAACAAATGATGGATAACAATAACGACACTGATACAGAAAACCGATGCTCTACACTTGTTACATGTATTAATGAAGGATAGTTCAGCTTCTTGACGATTTCGCAACATCAGCTCTTTTGTCGTCTTTGCCTCCAGCGCAAACGAAAGCGTTGAGGTCAATATGATGCTGGGTGACGGAGTGGTCCTTTGGACGCAGTGGTCATTTGAGACGTCCATGTTCTCCTCCTCGCAGCAGATGACGTTAGAGTTCCAGCCGCAGGCGCGGCCCTCAAAGTCATGGTACAAGAAAACTCCAAGACCGCACACGTCACATGGCGAGCAAGAGACGCAGCAATAGTCACTGTGATTTATGATCACTTTTTGCTTTCCATTGCCGCATGGAATCTGAAGAGGAAGAAACATAAACAAAGTAGTCAATCACTTTTTAAAATGTTCCATTTGTTTTAAAGTATTTTCTAATTGTGCTAAGAGGCATGGTGGCAGAGTTTAAAAGCGGTTGGCTTCCGAAACGAATGGTCTCGAGATTGAATCCCTAACGCCCTCTGACGTACATTGGGGAACTCAAGGCTATTGGTCGTTGTGCTGGTCACATGACACCTTCGTTAACAAACAGATGACATGTAGGTCTACATCATCTGTAAGCTCTGAATAAGGTTTCCTAGTCACAAAGCTTATACGTTTTCACACTTTTTCTCTCACTTCCCATTCTCGGATGAATTTGAAATTGTGCATAATTATTCATAGTCGATGACAATACACGAATCAATCCACAAATTATTCAATTAGTTAATCATTTAGTACTACTTAATTTTGTTTTATAATAGCAGAAAGGGAGCTAAACCCAGTAATTTTCTGATAAAAGGCAGTAATCATCGTTTTTCCCCCTTTAATAAGCTTTATTTTTTAAGGTATTTTTTTTCTATTGTCTATTGATTCCCATTTGTAGTACAAGATGATTATTCTCTGATACAGTCAAACTCTCATTGTTACTAATAGCTATTATAACTGTTATCTTTTATAGTATTTATAGTATAGTATTTATGTTTTATTTATGGAAAAAAAACGATTTGATATTCTCCATCTTATGTTTTTAGAACGACATGTATATTTTTTTGTACAGAGATAGATAAAAAAAAACGGACGGATGGACTCACGGATAAAAAGTTATATAATATTTGTTCCATCTCGATCCTTTCACCCAATTGAAACAAAAAACTCTTCGATTTACGATCCGTACAATGTATCTGGTTAACTTAGACACGTCAGACGTGGCTATTGACAACGGAAGTTATTTTTTGACACACTGCTGAGATCGAAAAAAACAACAACAGAGCTTGTCGTAGACGCCAACAATAAACAGTTGTCACATTATGTAAAATCTGGATGGTCCAAAAACAAAACTATAAATAAGGGAAACTAGAAATTTGTGTCAGTTATTTGTTGTGCGGGTTATTTGAAGTTGTTATTTCAATTCATTTCTATTGTGCCTTTATAACTGAAGTATTTCGTGCGCTTATTTATTATACGTTTAAGCTTTGAGATATTAAATTATTCAAGTTTCTAAAGTTTTCTTTTCACAGGTGCCCGAAGTACGCCAGACTTTGGCACTGGATTTACATCTAGAATGTTACACTACCTTTGATGGTCGAACCATATGCAATAGGCTTTCCTCTCGATGTCCTAGGTCAGAGCTCTGCCCGCCTCCTTCCCCTGAGGACGGGAGGCCAAGGCTAAGAGGTAATAACTTTCAATTTTGAAGGAACATCCGAAACGTTTAAACGGAATGTCCTAACCTTGGACCCCACCACTTTCAAGGACAGCTCTGTCATTAGCTACACCATTATAGACTGACCAAACATGTGTCTAAGTAAGCATCATGTGCATATCACAGGGAAGTCATTGTGCCAAAAGTACTTAGTCTTAATGCCACTTTTATGACATCCTTTTTGTTTAGTTTTTTTTCCAGAAATTCAAAATAATTTTCGACGTTTGAAGAGAGATCATATAAAAAGTAAAAAAACAGTACTGTATCCGGTACTTCATAAAGTGCAAATAACAAAGACATATAACACAACGAGATGAAAATATCGCTAATAACAAAAAAAAAAAAACTGTAAAAAATTAAATTTTATAAAAATGTTTTATTGATTTAAAAAGAAGACAATACCTCCTTTATACAGCTTATAGAGTTATTTGTTTTTCTCTTAATTACTTATGAATGTAGAATCAAAAACAATGGAACATTTTAATCCTGCCCCAGTGGCGTAGCTAGGGTCTTTGATGCTCTGTGCGGCAGTTCCTCATAGTGCCCTCTAAAAAGTTTTAAATTAGCAGTGTAGTCATTATTTAAGCATTTCGTAAAGAATCGATTTTACAAAAGAAAAAGATAATACAAATGAATCTCACGTGCCGTCAAGCTATTGATAATTTTATCGAAACCAGTTTTTTTCCACTAATTAGTAAATAGACGAAATAGCCAAATTAGTAAGTCATAGATTCATCATCGTCGATTGTAAGTATTTCTTCATCAAAGTAAGTTTGAATAAACTTCGCTAGCATGTAGCCACACTTACCACAGTAGTAAAATATACATTCGAATAAAGATGGCAATATTCGAGGACTAATATATTTTTTCTTTATAAAACTCTGAAGCTCAATAGATTCTTGTTTTGACAGTTTGGAGACTTCTGGAGAAACTGCGACAAAATACCTGAAGCTCCCAGACAAAATTCGTTTTTGTCTTTGTCGCTGGGAGAGCTGGGATTGATTTCCATCTGAGGATTCAATAAAGGCGATTGAAATTCGTATTTATCATATCGTTGTTCTTGTTTGGTTTTTATTCTATGAACAATACGGTACAAGGAAAATATTTCTATCAGTAGCTCTTTCATATGTGTTGATAGAAAATCTTTCTTCATCTTTTTTTCGCTTGGCAATTTTTTCTTGTGGCCAATACTTCTTTGAGGCTCTGCATGGCAATGTACCATACAATTTTGATCCAGATTTTAGGTGCTAAGTGTACAGTGGAAAATAATCGAGAAATATTTGCTTTTTAAACTTTCTGTATGATTTTTGTTTCGTTTTCGTGAGCGCTTATATTATAATAAATTCGTTTTTATTATGTTGGGACATGGACGTATTCGGTCTATTAGGAATGGGTCGTACTTGGATAAGTAATTTCACTCCAGGATATTTATTTGATTTTTTACTCGTTTGGGGTTAGGGTTAGGGTTTGCGATGCCCACGGAGTGCCACCAGATTCTGCTTTAAGAAAAAACGCTTGATGTCCAAGATTCTCTACAGAAAATCTCTCCACATTTTCCCCTCTTTCTTATTTAAATCTTGAGCTTTGCTGTCATTATTGTTGCCTAGTCACAGACAAACTTGTTTCCCTCCAAGCAAGTGATGTGTGGCTGAGAAAGTAAAACCGCTTGGCTGCGTTTGCTGAGCGGTTGGAAAACCTTTCTCAGAGACGCCCTTTCCCACTGGTCTACAAAAAAGAGATTGGATAATTACTAATTAGTAATTAAAAAAAAACACACCATTACAAACTTGCCCATAACCAGTGTTAAAGTGCGTTGCCTTCAGAGATTTAAACAAATCTGATACAATTTGATTCAAGTTAGTCTACAGATTACATTTTATTTAATTTAAGAAAGAATATACGACATAAAAAAATTACCAAAACAAATAAATGTGTTTGTTTTTATTAATGTAATTACAATGTGTAGTTTTACTGAGAAAGTTTGTCC